GGCCACCGATAGGTGGTATCCGAGGGGATTTCCGAGGGGATTGTCGGACTCGAACTGACTAAAACCGCACGCCGTCTCAGGTACTAATAGCCGGGAAACCAGGTATACCCTAGAAAGGAAGTCCCTGGAGAATCAGGATGATACCCTGGATGTATGTATGGCTTGTTATAACTCAGTTTTGGATAAAGAAAGTGAGAAAATGAACGTTTATCTGTATCTATCTGGCTATTATATTACCTTAATACGGTATAATAATGAATAAAGATTAATATGTTAAATTTCGAACACCGAACATTAGCATGGAAGTGAAAATTATAGGGAAGTAGAGTACGCTGTATCGATATTTTTGGCCTCGGTGGCCTACAATGTTGCCTTTATAACTTTATTAGGGTAGACATGTTGATATGTTATATGTGTTATAAAGATAGCAAACTTTACATTTATTATTTATGAACTTACCTTGTGTTTGCAGGGTTTGGGCCTTCTTAGTGAAGTTTTTCAGGGCAAATTAGTCGAAATATTTACTTAAAATTAGGTATAATTTTTGTATATGTAACCTTAGTATAGCATTTAGTACAGATGAATCACACACTACACTACCAGATGTACACAGATGGTACACAGTAGAAACAAGATGTGACGATCGTATAAAACATTCTTCTCTGACATGTATCTTCCATACCACTTTTTTGGACCCAAAATCACTTAAACTTTCTTTGAAAAATAATTTAAGAGAATCACACCTCGATATTAGAGGCTAACAGTCTTACTCTTAAGTTTAACAATTGAGAGGTCAATTAGCTTCATTATTCTTTTACATTATTGTTAATGTAAAAGATATTTCCTAATCTCAATGTAATCTTTTCCGTGTAAGTGGCTTGATCATAAAGTTTGGTAATCTTAGTAGCCTTTTCTACGGCGTAGCTAGCCGCATAAATCTTGTATAAGAAGTACGTTTTGAACATCTGCTACAAAATACTCCTTGATTATAAAATACTTGGTAGTATCTCAGTTTTCATGGAAATGATAAGTAAACTGGTCGTTTAAAGGTTTTCCATTGAATGTTGGTAAGTATTAACTGATGATTATTGTAAAAGTACTATTTTACACGCTTATCTTTGCTCAATAAATATTTTATAATTTGATTTTTTGAGAAAAATATAGTAAGTCATTTAGTCTAAAACTTTAGATTGAGTGGAAAAGATTACTTTGTAACTGTCGCATCATACGTTACGTAGCAATAAGGCCACTCTTTGTAGATTATATTTCTGACATATGTATATTTCATTCCTTTACAATAACAGTGATGTAGTAATAAGGTGTTTTATATCTATTTATACTCATTTTTTATTTTCTATAATGACGCGAAATTGTATCGTGCTACTATCCGAAACCGTGTCACGAGACGATCAGTTCCTGAGGTGCTTCATATTTAAATCGTGCCGTGTCGTAGTAATAATATTTATAATTACATTTAGAATTTTACATTAGTAGTAAAAAATAATTAATCATAAAATGACAATATAGCTGTTACTTAATCAATATGGTACGTAGAGTCCCAATTTCCTTTAAGATACAGAATATAAACCACTCGTCAAGAACTGATTTTTACTATATTTAATAACGTCTAATCCTTCATTTAATAAACCGATAATTTATGCTATTGGTAAAGTCCACCCATTAAAATTCCAGCAATAAATTTAAATTGCTAGACTTCGTGATTTTTTTTATTTGAATCACTTTAAATAATGAAATGGATTTGCATGAGAATTTGACTTTCACGAAATCCTTACACTGCAACATATTTTAACTAATATCCGGAATGCTCAGTATTCTATCGTCTTATTATTGTTTTTGAATTTAATTTTTACTTTTTTATAATTTGCTACTGCATCCAATAGGTCATTGTATCATATCCAATAGGTCATATAAAGTAGTTCTTCAGAGGCGTTGATTTTTTCTCAGTGTATATGTGTGTGAATATTACATAGGTTGCGGTGTAGTGCACTAGATTAATTAACAAGCCTCAGTTTATTGGTTTCGAACGATTAAATTTTGAAATTCAAACTTCAAATTCAATCATTTTATAGCTAGTTAAAGTATCTCAAATAAAAGTATTTTACTTCAAATTGTTTCTTACTAATATCCTTAAACTAAAAACAGTCGGTTTTTTTTCGAAACGTTTCGTTGTCCACCAAAAGATTGCCTATTAATAAATGCATGCTACCTTCCTTATAAGCAAAATATTAAACGGTATAAAAAATGAGTCTTTTCGGACCTTGTATTCATCCGATTGGTTTATTTTTATCTGATGTTATTATCAAAACAATCCAGTGACGTATTGATAATATAATCCCAAATGGTACGAACCTTTCGTCACATACGAAGTCTAATTGAATATTCGTTCTAGAGAAGGCTCTTACTTAATCATTGTAATAAGTGATCTAAACTTGATTTTGAAGCACCTTGCAATGGCTTTTCTTAGAAGAAAACGAACCACATATCTCAATTTGAAATAATTAGAAGCAGACACCTATGATATTTTATGAAATAGTGAAATTACTGTTTAAACTATAACGACATGTTAATTATAACTTATCAAGCTCAACATTTAGATAAAATAAAATAATCTTATGATTTATTTTCTAAATTTTAAACTATTTTAAGTTTACTGGACGAAAATGCCAGAGGGAACGGTGAACATTCATAAAATCCTTTTTAAGATACTATTTTTTTGTCTTATGAAAGATTTCTCTTCGAATGATTTTCTTCTTATGATCGCGATTTATTATACCCACAGATGTAATATTTTCTGCGTTATATTACAGGTGAAGTCGTAAGCTAGATCAAATATTGGCCATTAATTAGAACCTCGTGACTTATAAGAGCGTCATATATTTTTGTCAATTTTTTCTTTCTGCATAATATGTGGATTTACTATCAAGTTTTTTAAATATTCTTTCTAGTAGTGTTTGTTAGCTTAGATCTAATTTTGAAACGTTTGTTCTTATTTTATAAAATTAAAGTAAATTTTTTCAGTTTCGATAACAATGCATTTCTATGATAAGTATGACTTGATTCTGCTATCAGGATTGTTTTTCTCTAGACGAGGAAATTTCTCAATGATCAGCAGTACAGACACAAACTTTTAAATACAGGTTCATCTGTGGCATATGAATTGAAAGATCTTTAAAGAAGACTTTTTTAAAGACTTTTCTAAAGTTTACCACGACCTGTCTACTTCGCCTAGGATTTAATTCAGATGGGGGAACTCCTTGAATCACAATCTTCATCATCATCACTATCTCAGCCGAAAGACGTCCATCACTAGACATAGGTCTCCCCCAAAGTTCATCATATAGACATGAAATTGTAAAAGTTCTCAAGGTTACCGTCTCAAGTCATTTTTTTTAATACAGTACAAAATCAGAAGTTAATAAACATCGTAATATTATTAGTTGTATACATGCCACTATTAGTTATATAGCAATTTCATAATAATAATTTAATTTTAGTTTATTTTCTTTAACCAGTTTTATATCTTGAGAATAAAGACTGCAGTGACCTAGTAAGCAAAAAATTTCTGAGACAGGTCACTGCACTCTTCCATAGCTGTTATGTTAATCCTAGAACACAGATAACCTAACCGGACAAACTAAAATACGGTTAGCCATAATACAAATACGGTGTGAAATCAAATACACTTAATTATTCGTTATGCTATCTATAGTGTACAATGAAAATTTCAAGAATAAGTACATCGTTATTTTTTTATAGAATGTCTCAATGATACAGACATCGTCTTAGCTGACTTTTACAGAAACAGTAGAGAGAGCTTTCTAACTCTATAACTTAGTACACTGATAGTGAACATGAAATGCAACTTACAAGCGTTCTCTCTAATTGATAAATAGTTAACCAGATTGTTTTGTCACCGTATATAAATACTGCACACCATACTCTTAACAACTTTAGTCACCTGTCGTATACGGACAAGAGTGCGGATTATTGTTTTATCTAACATACTATATGATGTCATTTAATCGGAACTCGACTTCGTTCGATCTCGTGAGAGCTCTTGAAGCAGGTGCGGATGATATTGATTTTTTTATTGCATTTATTTCGGTTAGTTGTTTAGTGGGTCAACATCGTGTAGTATTAAGATTTGTATTATATTAAAATATTTAGTAGTAGGTACTAATATTTTTTTCCAAAGAGCGAGTAAGTAACATGAAACTATTAACGAGCATAATAAATAAGCAAGATGAAAAACAAGCATTCGGTGAACTAGTATGTTAAAAGCGACGTAGCCCATAGATATGTATGTCAATATATAGTACTGATCGTATTGAAACCCTTTGAAGCGTTTTCCCACAACCGTATATCAAATTTATTCAAACCCTTTCTATCCTATTCAAGCTTAAATACCAGGAAGGGTTATAATAATTTGAACATTCGTACCTAGGTTCAATAAGTTCAGTTCAGTTCAGTTGTATAATACACAAAATTCCTAGTTTTCAACTATGTGAATCCAAATTAAAGCGAGCCAGACACTCACTTAAAAACAAACTAGTGGTTTTGGCAAAAGAACAAACATATGTGGTTCATAATTAATGAAATCATCGATAAATCCTCAATGTTTATATTTCAGCCTCTTAACTTTACCTAAAATTTAATTTATTTATGTAAAAATAAAAAAGTGAACTTTTGCCTAGTGATAAAATGAAAAACAGTAGGAATAAAAATAACAAAAGAGTAACATAGACGCGTAAAAGTAAACCCTTTTCTAGGGGTTATATTGCTGTAATATAAACTTGGAAAAAGGGATATAAACGTTTACGTTACGCAATGAGTAACTATCTACTAAATAACTTAGAATAACATGAATTCTGTACTTATTCCTGCTTGTTTGGTTTAGTTACACAAAATATACTCAACATATTGAAAAGCAATAAAACTTGTTACCATAAAGCGTGTAGTATAATAGCGAGAGGGTGTGTTTAGTTAGATAGTTTAGTTTGAATAGCAAAAATCTTTAAGTCCTCTGTATCAGTATCGAATCTTACGCTGCACTGCTTTCCAAATTTTTCCGCCGCTCTTTGTGCTTTTGCGCTAGTAAATATACCGCCTGGTGCACGAAAACCCAAATCCTTACAGAGATTTATTCTGGAAATCAAAATAATGTAAAATAATTTTGTTAAGCTGACGGTGATTTTCTACCGAGTACACCTTGAATATTTAACTGATACAGACAAAGTCTCTCAGTCAGTTACCAAAAGGACAGTTCTAAACGGATTTCGTTTCGTAGATTTGTAACTACGGAATGCATTTGCGGCTGCTTCCTTTCCACAACTGCTGAAACTATTCGTATTCATAAGTTGATATACTACAAAATTGGTGTTGCAAATCAGTAAATTCATATATTTTCTCTCGTATATATTTATATTAAAATCTACATCAGAAATCTTAACACCAATTATGCCTTACACTGTAGGAATATGTTCATTCTAGTTTAATAACGCGTTACAAAATAAATTTTCACGTTACCGGTCCCAACAGAATTACTAAAGTCATCAATGACGTTTCTGTGACCCTTACCTGACGCCAGATAGAACGCAAATTATACACCCTCTGTAAGGGACGCTTTTACAAGAATTAAGTTATATCGTTTACCTGGCCTTAAGCAGTTCAACTGCGATCCCGAGCATTCTATATTCAAGCGCGACTGAAAGGCCCGCTCCAATGAGGTAGGCGTTCACATTGTATTTATCATAAATCGCTGTCATTTTCATAGCTTGGCTAAACATTCGCAGGGATAATAAACCGGCCTTGGACTTTGGCTGGAAAGAAATGGGATTACATTAGGTATGGATAATACTTTTACTTGAAAAATGAGTCAATATTTTTTTGTGTTAGGCTGCTGTATGAATTTATTTAAATAAGGTCTTGTTCGTATTTAAAAATTATAAATCCATCTCGAGGCGTACTTGAACGGACTTCGGAGTTGCATTTGCGCTTTCCTGTCCCGTCTAGTACTTGTCCTGGCCGATTTCAGCGCCCGCTCTAGGGTGATTGCCTGGACAACGTAAGAAGAATGAGTGTATCTCTTCTTACGTTTAACCGTCGGAACCGATTACGTGATTTGACGACTTTAACGTGACGGAGTAAGAGCTAGAAGGAGCCGTAAAGCGACTCGCCGCCCGCAACACTCCATCGGGTCCTGATGGGAATAGGCGGAGGGGGCTGTTTACCAGCTGCCTCCGTGATAGCATATTCCCTTCCGGCTGAAAGGAAGCCATGCTGTTACTTATTCAGAAACCTATACCTACCTTATTAGAGTGGGGGGAACAGAGATCGAGGTTGACCAACACCTTAAATACCTTGACCTCACCCTGCACGGGCAGCCGCTGGAGCTTCGAGGAGCATTTCGAGTAGATGATCACCCGAGTTCATGGGGTGGCGGGCTCTCTACAGAGGTTACTGCGTAATCTAGGAGGTCCGCGGGAGGAAGTTCACCGCCTTCACTGTGCAGTGATACGATCCATGGCCCTCTATGGAGCGCCGATATGGGCCAAGCGCTTATCAAGCGGGTATCAGGTACTTACTGGGCATAGTTTCTTCGGTGAGTACCTAAATCGTATCGGGCGTGAGAAAACGGCACAATGGCAGCACTGCGCAGTCGACTGGGATTTCGCCCAGCACACACTGGAAGACTGCCACGCGTGGGCGTCTGAACGCGAAGTCCTCGTCGACCTGTCCCCGCCAACAATCATTGCTGCCATGCTGGCGCGTGAGGAGGAATGGATGGGGCGCAGTGGTCTCATTCTGTGAAGCTGTAATGCTCCATAACGAGACAGCTGAACGGGATCGGGAGAGGGCCGATCCCGAGCGTAGAGGACGTCGCCGACGATACCAGCCGCTGACGGGGCTGCGGGCCACTAGAGAGTGGGGACCTATGGTGGCAGATTGAATGCTGCGGTAGGGGATAAGATATCGGTCTAATTGCATTAAGACGCAATTGGGCCACCACGTGGAGATTGAGGATAGTTTTTCCCCTGGGATAGGGCCTGATTAGGAATTAGTGTTAATTCGGGGAGGACCTCAAATAACATGTGTTTTAAGTGTATCTATTCCCAATTTCAAGTTATTACTTAAAATTTGGAATAGATACGTCCTATGGAACATTAATCTAAGATAAGAAGTTTCGAAAATTCAATGTTTATAAAGTCACGGGACCTAATAGGTACTTGAAAAACTTAATGTCGTGGCGATAATGTGGATCAGCTAAAAGTATGGTTACAATATAAAAAGTTTGATTCTTCCTAACAAATTAAAGTGGTTTGGCGTATATGCCTACCAGGTGAGTGCGGTTTCGAACTTTGTTAACAACTCTTAGACAATTAAGAATTACAATCTTTTCCTTCTATACATAACGTAACTTGTATATATGTATAATTCTGTACTATTTCTCGAAAGTCTGAAACAGCACTGTTATTTGTACAGTAATCACTAAAAGACTGTACACATACAACAGAAAACGTTACACAGGCTTGACAACAGGCTCCTCAAAAAAAAAACTGTCCAACTATTTTAATAATAGCATTATAATGAGGAGTAAAGGCGTGTTGGCATATTAATCCAGGCACATTGACTCATTTACAGAGATAAAAAAAGAAAAATGTTATCCAGATACATACGTTTTCAAATGGTTAAAAGGGTTAAAGTCAACATAAGGAAAATGTGTTATGTGCCCAAGAAAGTTAGGGGATGATTTTAGGGGTTGAAAAGGGGTGAAAATGGATACATCTCGTGTTTTTTGCAATTTCACGCGAAATTTGATGTCCCACTGAAAAATGTTAAATACAAAAGTTGTAGATCTTGGAAAAATCTACAACTTTTGAATGGGTCATTTTTTAATATAACCCCAAAATTTCAGAAAAAAATGCAATAAATAAAAAAAAAATTGGTTTTTGTTTTTTACTTGTCAATTTCTCAAAAATAAATATGTTTAAACCAAACTTGCTGAAAGTACTTCTTTTTGTGTCCCAAACATTTGTGTCTCATGATTTCTGCAACCGCATCTATTGCCCTCACATCCAGTCCAGTCCACTATTGCAGTATTGTACAAAAATAAAAAATGTATTTAAATAGGAAAACATATGTTTTTTCGTGTTTTTTCCCGTACAATTCAATGGTCTTATTAGTTTTTGAATATTTTTTTTATTTATAACAAATTATTAACAATAATCAAAAAATTTGTTTTTGCAAAATTTTTTTTTTATATTTTTCAATTTTTAGACATGTTTTTAAATGAAAGCGGTATTGTTTTATTATTTCATTAAAAAGTAGACGTCAAAACGAAAAAAATGAGCCCTGTATGACCTCTCTACGATGATTGTAAGTAGTAAAATGTAACTTTGAAAACAACGTGTCTCGGACCGAAATAAATGAATCTTTCAAACAAGTTTTAATATTTCAATCTAAAATTTTGTTTTTGTTGTTTAGGACACAAAAAGGAGTACTTTCAGCAAGTTTGGTTTAAAAATATTTATTTTTGAGAAATTGACAAGTAAAAAACAAAAAACAAATTTTTTTTTGATTTATTGCATTTTTTTCTGAAATTTTGAGGTTATATTAAAAAATGACCCATACAAAAGTTGTAGATTTTTTAAGATCTACAACTTTTGTATTTAACATTTTTCAGTGGGACATCAAATTTTGCGTGAAATTGCAAAAAACACGAGATGTATCCATTTTCACCCCTTTTCAACCCCTAAAATCATCCCCTAACTTTCTTGGGCACATAACACATTTTCCTTATGTTGACTTTAACCCTTTTAACCATTTAAAAACGTAGGTTTCTGGATAACATTTTTTTGTTCTCCATATTCAACGTGCCTGGACTATATTCACTAAATTTTATTACAGATCGTACTCTTTGTCACACACATACACAAATAGAAGACACTTTCTATTAAGACAGTTTTAAAGTCAAAATAGTTTTAATTTATGAAGTGTTGTTAAAATCTTGTAGATATTTTTTTATCACTGTTAGATAAATAAGAATTCTACAGATAAATAAGGATATTAATGCGACCAAAATAGCTTTTGTTCCAATTTAAAAAGAAGTATAAATAACAGCATCTAATTATTAAGTCAGAAAAGAAAATGAAATAAATTTTCAACGTTAAAATAAATAAATATATGTAAACCTAACTTTAATCCCATAAATAATTTCCATGTTTTTTCACTCATAAATTCGCGTTTTTTTTTCATTCTAAGTAAAAAGTAGGTTTTTACTATTTCTACTTTTATGAATAATAATAATTACTTTACACATTTCACATACGGCAGTCTGATCCCAAATGAGGCGGAGCATAACATATGAAAATGAAAGCTTCGGAGAGGTAAAAACGAGGTAAATTAAAGTAGGGACTCTTTAATGTTACAAAATACATAATTATAACAAAACACATTACTAAAAAAAACAGAGTTGGATGTAGATAAAACGTGAAATAATAGCTGCTGGCTGAAAAGGTTAAACAACCGATAATTACCGGCCTGTGTTCGACGAAGCGTCCCTTTTCCTGCGACAAGTACAAGTTAACGGCAACGAGCGTGCCTCCTGAACTATCTCCTTCGGCTAGGTAACACGCTAAGCTAAATTTTTGCCTAATGATAGAGTTCAGCGACAAACGGTACTCTTGTACTGCATCTACGTTTTCCGCTGTACCTGTCAGTAAACAGAAAGAAATCAAATTTGAACTACGAGAACCGATAACAAATACAGAAATAATATTGTAAATAGTACTTCAAATACAAATATTTATTAGAGTAGTTATTTGACTTGGATTGTGATTCGACGAATCGACGGAGTTTTAAACAGTGTCACAAAATTGGTGATCTTTTTTTCCTAATGGCAAGTAGTCCAAAAAAAATAATTGTATTGAATTGGTAGTATTAGCAATGTCTATAGTAGTAACAGCCTTCTATAAGGGATGGCGTGTATAATGCTATTTGAGTAAAAGTATTTGTATTGAAATCACTTTGCCTGTAATAAGACGACAAGTAAAGTTTCGAAACAAAACGTACTTTAATAATTTAAGTACAATCTATGGGTGATGTTTTGTTGGCAGATGTGAAAAGATTAACCATGCCTAAATGGCGTGGTTAATCTTTTACATTACTTAAATGGCTTAACAGTAATCTGTCAGGCCGTTTAATGTAATGAAAAAAAAATACATACACACTATTAGGCAAAATAAGACTGATCTATGAAATAAAATGTTCCAATATTAGGTCTATTAATTTTAATGATAGTGTATCCTACATAAATAAAACGACCATAATCCTATCAATCCATTATAATAATCCAAGAGGAAGAAAATAGTTTAAAATAACCAAAATTTTAGCTTATGTACATTCAACGACCAAGCTGCTAGTTCAATTTACTCAATAATAACCCAATACTTCTTAATAATTATACTAGCATAACCCGATACAGAGCATAATTAATTCAGTTATCATAATGACGCAAACAAAGTTTAAAAATTCAGAAGTCAGCCAATGAGATAACCAATGAGACGGGCGCTTTCTGACACCGCGCTTAAGGTTTTTCTCGGCCTCGAGATAATTGGGTGGCGCCGACATATAGTACTGCTTACGGCTAATGGCTTACGTATTTTCTTACATGTGGGCGGATGCTAGGTTAAGGAGTAGTAGTAATTGCAAAAACTTCATTTACAAAGCTTTGAAAAAATTACTTTTCCAACAAGAAATAGAAGAGAAACGATTTGAGATTCGACTTAAAATCTGATAAAGAAAGGTTCCGAAAAATCTCAAAGTTATGAATCGTATTTTACCAGCAGTTTCCCACCAAACATCTCTAGTAGATAGATATAATGTCCAAGCATAAACTCGACTGCAGTACTCCACATATTTCGAATTTCAACATTCCACCTTCTTCAACCATTCGTTCAAAACGAATCCACACTTTAGGGTACTCCAGAGTAGACATTATTTACGTGCAGAACGAAAGCAGGTGTGCTATTAAATTCAAAACAAGTTCTAAAGCACTGAACAACTGAATTGAGACTGAAGTGTATTTACAATGCTGCCTTTTGGTTTCTATATTACAGTGAAGCAAGGTCTTCAGTGTCATTCGATAAGAATAACCTGTTTATTGAATACAAAGTTCTGCAATTCTATGTAAAAATTCTTTATTACGCGTACGTTATCAAAATTTAAAATAAAACTAAATTACATAAACGAAATTACGCTGTTATAACTTCGGTTGAAAGTACAAACCACCTTTGACTAACAATTTTGAATCCCACTGTATGTTTCCTTTAGTAACGCAAATAGGTCAATGCGGTGCATTCTGGTCTGTGTAAAAGATACTCACAGATTAATTGTCGTTATCATTGAGTAGTAGCTATACTTGGCTATTCATGTTTATTTTAAAAAAATCCGTATACGGCGTAGCATTACATAGAGAACATAATAAAGAAGAGTAAAATCTCCACAAGAAAGAACTTGTACAATTTTGTTACACAATTGTTTTGAAATTAAATTATGGGCTCTAAGCTGTTTTCTTTTTGGTATCTAATGAATAATTAAGATTGAATAACTAATTATTAATTTAATCTAGGTTACCCACAGTATATTTAGGCAAAGTAAGAGTTTGATTTATTTTAATTAGTTCTTTGAATCCGTTAGACATTATACAACTCTGTTTGGAAAATGTCAAACATTATGTTCAGCTTCTAATTCTTGTAATTTTTGAATAATTTAATTTTGAGTACATTTATATTTGTTAGTCTAGACATACTGGATTAATTTAATTAAAAATAAGCTTTATGACTACGAAATACCGTTAAGAGTTAATTTAACTGTGGTAAATTATATATTTTATTTTTTAATTTGTGACATTTTCAATATATAAAACGGTTCAAAGTGAACATAATTATGATATCAATTATAAGCTGAGTAGGTACTATCGATAGTATCGATTGCCAAACATGAACTTATTGAATTAATTATCACTTATTTGATTGACATAGATGTTCTGTTAACGGGTTTCTGTAGGTAGAAGTGAAACCAAATAAAAACCAAAATCAGGGACATCATGAGGCTTTATTCAATATCAGTCCTAAGGCCAAAAACGCCTGAGGTTTTTGTAAATTATGTTAGGTATATTCTGTCAATGTATTGTATCATTTATTATCTCTAAATGCTATTTGGTGTGTGTTTGGTGTTTCCGTATGGCGACGGATTAAGAATAAGGAGTGTCACCACTCTTATTTATTCCGTGGGTGTCCTAAGAGGTGACTAAGGGAACTACGCAGGACAACAGCACTACAAAGAGAAGGAAATCTTGACCCAACCCTATATCAACCCGTCAAACCAGCGTGGTATACTAGGCAAAATCTCCTTTCTAAGGAGAGGCCTATGTCCAGCAGTGGACTATTAAAGGCTATTAATGATGATAATGATGAATCTTATTTTACTACTAAATAAAAATATTTCATATTAAGTAATTTGAAAATTTTTCCTTAATTGAATTAAAAATAATATTTAGTATCAATTTTTTCGAGAGTTAGTCGCAATTATATTTTTTTAAATTCTTTGTTATCTAGGTTCGTCGCTCGGGTATTGGAGCGTACATGCTCTGCGCTCGAAGGTCGGCGCGTCGCGGCTCTCCTTGTCTGCGGTGGGGGATCAGCAGCGGCCGCCGTAGTGTCCGCGGCCACCCGAGCCGGTGTCCCCGTACTGCGCACGTCACCATCCCATATTCATCTCTCTTACATCATAGCTAATGTGAGTAATAGAGTTCTAAAACAGCTTTTTTTTTATATTTCTACAACAAATTACCACCTTTTATTTTTTTTATTGAAAATTGTATTTACATAACGAAAATGTATTTATTTTATGTGTATTTTCTTAACCAAAATATTTATTAGCTGTGGTAATCATTACTGTCTTATGTCTTTGTTTGGGAACCTTATCACTGCAAGAAATGATTTATTTTCAAAGTTTGATTTTAGTATTTATAAGATTTGTGCCTTGTATTTGTCTTATATTTTTCAAACTGAGCATTGTATTCGATTATTTGAATGACCTTGAAATATTTCTATCCCTATCCAATTTATTCTTGATTACATTTCAAGATACTATGGCGAAGATAATATTTCGACATTGTTTCCATAGGATGTTGATTGCTATATATATGTATGTATGTTTATTGGTGTCCAGGCGCCTCAGTTAATTTCATTAAGTCGTCTCTCCACCCATATTAGGCAAATTCAGTACCACTCTTGTAATTTCGTTTATAGTCGCGAAGATTTTTTTTGCGACGAAGAGCTTAGCACTTCTAATAGACGACACAAATTGCACATAAAATTTTTAAGGTTTTGTTGATTTCATTGTAGGTAGGTAAGAATAAACAGTTTTTATCTCAACAACTATTACTTTTGTAACATAAACCATTTGTAACACATTCTGATATTTTTATGGGAACTCAGGAGCATGATCGTTTAGATTTTTGAATTGTAGTTGTAAGATTATAAAACGTATTACATTTTGATATGGTAAGTGGAAAGTAATAGAGATAGCTGATGGGACGACAAATTACGAAGAATGACAAATGTGGCATGCTTTCGAGATATTAGATGAAAAGGAATAAACACTAATGAGATTGGAGAGGGAAAAATAAAAATATGGAGTAGGAGTAGTGTGTGATATATATAGAAAAATAAAATAATGTTTAACTAAACACCGAAACAACATTATTGAGGCGATAATTTTCCATAATATTGATTTTCAGGTGTATAAGAGTTGACGTCGTCAAGACGCTTCTCGTTCCGATAGAGAATAGGAAGATGATTATAATTCATACATTTTACATGAGCTTCTTTAGTTTTGAGAAAGTTATGTCGTTTCGTTTGAGGAATAGAATAGCAATATAGTCTTCGACGATGTGTGACGATGATATTCAAGTATACTCTTTAATTTTCTATTTTGTAATTAGATTAATACTGTTAAGTAGTATTTTATAGTTTAATGTGCATTATAGGTATGTAACAAGTATAACCTGTAGTCTTCGGGTACATAAAACCATTTTTTTTAAATAAAAAAAAACATTAAACCAAAACTGATAATAATAATTAGCTTAGCTTACACTAGCGATCAGTGTTTTTTTTCCCGTGTCGCTATGCAGTCTAGTAATTTTTTTTTATGATAAATCAATTCAGCGATTCTAGAAATACACAATATTGTCATTTTTTTCAGCAGTTTAAGATTAATGATGCTTGTTAACATATCACATGCATTTGCATAGTATAAAACGCAGGTAGTCTCTAATGTTTGTAATGGAGTAACAACGATTACGATTTTATTTATACTAAGCAATTAGTTGTGCTTGCTACCATAAAGTCGAGAATAGCCACCAAGCCAGTGAAATAATGCGTTTACGTGACAACCGTGTGACCTGGCAATTGACGGTGAGCACAACACGTTCAGGCATTATTTATAGGATAATAGCCGTCTGCGACTTCACTCAGTTGTGTAAGTTTTTGACAAATTGGGAAAGAGAACCTTATGTCGTTGTCGTTGTTAACCTTATTTGCAAAATTTTCATGATGACCAGTTGAGTAGCTAAGACGTGAAAGCATAGACGAACAAAATAACTTTCTCATATAACATAATACTTTGTAAGATGCTCATGAAGTTTTATTTCTTACCTAAATTCTTTGTCATTGTCAATTCAAAAATCCCAAAATATTTTTGGTACTGCAGAATCTTTGAGAAGGTTGTGGAGCTGGCTACAGTAAATGACTAAAATGGGCTTTCGTCACCTCGTCTTTTAAAAAACTATATTATGTAGACGTAAGCTGTCCTGATCTCACCGAGCACTAATTTAACATTTATGCAAATTTGACCATGCTTGTAAATATTATTATAAGCTCAACTGGTCGACCAAAATCTTCGCTGGAATATTTCCCTAAAATTCCTTGTTATCTCAAATAACACTTTCCATTATTTTAAAATTCACTTTCATGGTATTAAGGCAATCACAGAATTTGATTTTAAGAATTCAGTCACAATCAGCAAAGTTTGTGGATAAACTATTTACAGTACAGATCATCCTTTTGTGGAATAGATTAATACTGGAAATGACAGTTACACAAAAAAGTCCATTACTATTATCTTCGAAATACATTTTTTTCAAAATGTATGTAGAAAAAGGGTACAGAGCCTTTTTATGGAATAGGCACAAACGAGCAAACGGGTCACCTTATGGAAAGCGACTACCGCCGCCCCTGCAACTCAGGAGTCACCAGCGCGTTGCCAGCTTATGAGGCTTTGATTACCACGACTACTGGATATAAAAGTGAGACGCCTATCACTTTTCGCAACAAGTCAAGACATAGGCAATTTTTGTGAAAAACGAAAAATCTTCAATTACAAGTATCTATTCGTTCCAGCGTTTAACAAAAAAATAAAATCATTAAAAGCAAAGATTGTACTCGTTTAGCTCTTGAGTTATTTTTTCGAACTGCTCATATTTGGTATTTTATATGACTGACAATAGCACTAATAGAGTTATAGCATAATTATTATGTTGTTACATTGTTATTTAAAAAAAGCAAAAATATTTTCTACAAGTTTAAAAAGACAAATTGTTTCATCGCAAAAATTCAAGATTCTGTTACACACATACATACATACCAAGCTAATAAAAGCGTGTTCAAAATAGATATTTACGAAATAATGCCTGAACAAAGTTAGGAAATAATCCTACACGTGTTCTATATTGATTGGTCAATAGTGTAATTTGACATCTTAATATTCAAATTCTAAACTGTCAAAGATGAATGGTTTTAGTAAAACTGAACCTACAGATCAACCATTATTTCATAGCTTTCCATACCAACATGGTCTCATGTTTCTTAGAGTAGACTTACAATATTTTTGAATAAATTAAATAAAGAAATCTCTGCACTTCTTTTACACGTAAACTAAATATTTCTAAATTAATAATCCTCCTAACATCATTTTTGGACAGACACCTAAAATTATAAAGTACTACATTTAAAAAACAAATATACAACGACACACATGATATATTCTTTTTGAAGATATAATTAAAAATATAACAAATATTGACAATGAATCTGGTACCTCATCATCATCATTTTCTTGCCCTGTGATTGGAGAGACCTAGGGACTAAGACAAAAATTTATAGTAGATAGTAGATTCAATTATGAATAATGTTGTATTTATCGTAGTAGTATTAGTCATTATAGTTATGGTTATAATGTGGTAAATGGTTTTAAGGTGGTGTAATTGGTATTAATTACACTACCTTATAACCGTATCCAGGCCTTGTATCTGTTAATTATGAAATATAAATATTTTATATATCATATTTGTGTAGAAAACTAAACTTAATTAGCTTACACCCGCTTCAAGTAAAATTTAATTTAAAAGACTGTACTTGATAATTTTTTTCTGAAACTCATTTATTATTATTTAGTCAAGTCTTGTGTTAAGAAGTAAGATGGTATAATAATATTACCACTAACTAAGAACTCGAGGACTTGCTCGCGAATTCCATCAGTTTGTATAACATTATTAGGTACGCAGTCAAGTACACTGATGTTGCTCTTGCTAAGGAATACTAATAATTTTTTTCTTTAATATTCACTTCTAATCCTGAGATAAACGTTATATTCTTATATAGACTCAAGTGGTCTCTTGTAACACTATTTACAATTTGATCTAGGTTAAAGTATGTAAACTACTTAACAGTTATTTAAGAATATACTATTCACGACTCCGATTATGAAGCTAACATCTCTTCAAGGTATTATGGAAAAAGTAAAGCGGTCCTGCTTGCTATAAAAATGACGCTAAAACCAATACAGTGTTACACAACAACACGTGTGTGTCAAGCACAATTAAGACCAGGGAATAATGTATTTGATAGGTCCACAACTTTTAAATAGTAATTTACATGTATATTTTGAACAGAGTTTTTTTTACATCATATATTAATTAAAAAATTTCACCTTCTACATACATAAGTATGTACTAGGTTTTTGCTCAGTATTTATGAAATGTAAACATATGTCTAAAATTCTGGTCTAATTAAGCGCTATTTCTAAGTTATTCGTTTGATTTCATTAGGCAGTTTATGGCGCCTAGTAACCTTGGTTGTACCATTAAAATCTTTACATAAAATTTTAGTCCATCCTTGACCTTCTGATGATAATAAGGCTATAATAAAACCACTGTCGTCGCCTCTAAGACCTGAATGGTATTTAATAATTATAGCCACTTTAAATTCGTTAGATTTTACTAACTTATTTTAGTGCATCTATGACAGGCTCATGTCGTTTTTAAATACAACATTTCAGCTATGTTAAATTATGTCAATAATGTAACAAACAAAACAATGCGTCATAAACGCGAAAACCGTAAAACACAATGTCTTAAAAAGATACAGGAGTTTGTCGTATGCGGAGCAAATCAGATTTTTATGTTCTGCATAACGCCCTTGATAACCAGCCATATATCTTGTCTCGGTTTGCAGAATAATTTTTTGTTAGAGGTGATATTCCACACGATACTTGGTTCACGAAAATGGGACCGGTGTCATCGTAAATTATAATCATTTGTGACCCACGTTAGCACCGATTAGCACTAGACATAGAATAAGTACGGGTTTAAAACGTATGACAAAATGTGAATAAAGGAAAAGACACTTGGTTTTTGGTGAATATTATCATTACTAGAAAAGGCTATCATATTGTAATGTTACAGTTTCGTACATTGTCTTTTTTCCCCAGGAAATGCTTCCGTTGGAAATTCGACTAGAGATCACCGCAAAAGAAACTTTACACGCACTCAGGTACTAACTACAACCAATAATAGGGTGTTACCTATGAAATTGGAGATTTTTAAAACCAACATTTTCAGATTTAATTATATGAGAATTGAGAATAATTTTATTTAAAAGCCATGTTTTAGCCATTAATTTAAAATTCAGTCATTTGTTTTAGATATTGTTTTATTTTTGGGAATTTGTGGTAGTTTTTGGAGCTATGGATAAACTGCAAATTTGTTCAATATTTTATATATTATTATAGCGTTCTTCTCAGCGGATGGGCCAGGGTACATCACCTAATCAGTTTACTAAAAAAAGGATTACCCATAGAAGGGTGAAGGTGACTGTTTAGTGTTAACCATTTGACTTGTATATCACAGATTATTACCAAATGGCCCAAAAGTGACGGTAGATATCTATTGCTAAGAATTGCAAACAATGATGGAGAAGCTCGCAATTACACAACCTCGATTGTACTCGTATCTGTACCCCATGTTGTGTTGTACCCCATTCCAACTTCATAGGTAAAGACCTAATACTTTAAAAAAAGAAAAAAAAGCTCTTTATAATAAGTACATTTTGTCTTTTTTTTCAGAGCGACACTATTGCATACCCATTGGCACTCATTTACTTTGCTAGCGGAGGAGGATATTTATATCACGTTATCCCTACGAAAAGATCTATCGTCGATACTTACAGCACAGCCACTAAATCCCAAATGGCTTTCCCTTCCTAGAAAATTCTCTCGACACGTACTCTTCAGGTATTTAAACTTTGCATGTTCAAAATATAAAACGTAAATCCTGAGATAAAAATTACATTTCTCAAATTAAGTATACCTATTATTATTCAATCTACTACAACCTCATCTTGTGCTACAATAGTACTTTGATTATGTCTGTGCAGGCGACTAGCTGAGATATCAAGGCTGACCCGAGGCGTTGTTGTTTTGATATGTGATGTCAATTACGCTAAGCTCGTTATGGATGAGGCCAAGCGTCTGAACATGCTCGAAGGCAACTTTTTCTGGCTTTGGATAGATGCTTCAAACGACGTTAATATTTTTCACAACATCAGCAACAGAACTCAATATAATGACGATAGTGATCGAGATTATGAAAGCTTATGGGATAATAATGAAGCACCAGTATACGAACGCTTTGATCGTGGCAAACGAGGCGATGCTGACAATAATACGATAAAAGATCTGAAAGACCCCACATCGATAAGATCTGATGTAGTTGAAAAGATTTCTAGCGATGGCGGATTTAATATAAAAAATAGTTCTATAAATTCAGTTTTTCGGAAGTTAAGTCGAAATATTGCGGATGTAGAAAGTGCTAACGACAAGTCCTTAAATATAAATATTAGTCAATCATATAATAGTAGTCAAAATATTAGTTCGGAAAGTGTTAGATATTATAATGTAAATAACAAAGGCGTTGAAACTTCTAAAATCGAAAACAATTCAATTGCAAAGGGTGTGCCCTTTCATACTAGAAATAACAGTAGGCGTAATAGTTATAGAAAGATGAAAAATGAATCTTTTAATAAGTATGTAAATAGCATACACATAGATAATGTAAGTATAGGTAAAGAAATACTGTTGGAACGAAATTATTTAAGTAATGATGAGGATACTAGAGATATCAATAATAGCATAGATATATCAAGTGATACTAGTGATTTCTTATTGAATCCAAAGGTGCATGCGTCTACTATGCATAATCTTAGAGACAAAATGGAAAAAAGAAGTAATAAGAAAATTAACAAAGAAAATATTATGAACAGAAGGAGGGATTATGATATTAAAAATAACATGACCGAGATTTTAAATAGTCTTCCTGTGGGACTCCTTGCCTTACATCCACAACCAGTAAAAATAGGTAAGCATAGACTCGACACTTGCATGCTTGCAAGGACCAAAGAATGAATGCAAGGAAAAAAGAAAGAAAATAATCGTAAATCTGCCCTTTTTAATAATTCAATTTTGAGTCAAAATGTATCCGTGAAAAAAATTTAGTTCTTACATATTAATTCCTTCTTAGTTTCCTAAGCATTATTGTTCTTATATTATAGTTTTAATTGATTTTCATTTGTCGTTTTATGGTGTATGTGTATAATTTATTAACTAAGATTTGGGAGATTTAATATTGATATTAAATCCTTTAATGATTGTGCAGATCCCGCTTATGCTCGTGCTGCAGTAAGAATTATCGTAGGCGCGCTTAGACGCGTATTACGCGCTTGTGACGCATGGTCTGCTCAAGCCCAATTCTTGAGCGACGCTACAGCGTCATGCTGGGATGAACCAAGTGATGCCGCAGCAGATTTTTCAACGGAATTCGTAAGGTATCTAATAACAAAAAAAAAATGTTGTATGAAAAATTATAAACAGTATATTGGATCGTAAACTAGGAATGAAATTGTATTTGTGTACACTTAGTACAGCAATAGTAAAAGTAGTTTTTTTTTTCGGGTAGTTTTTTTTGTGTTACTAGAAATTATGTTTTATCTTATTGGTCTTCGAAGGTAATAATTGAATAACGAACATTACTACTATAAACACTGAGAAACAATTTGACCGTGTTTTGTATAAAACAGAAAATGGTGTTGAAATTATTCAGCAAAAATGCTTTTTGTCCCCCGCTGAACTTCAAGCTAAGTTATAAAGCCGCTAATGACCTCGATTTAAGTTTAGAGAAAACCTTGTAGATATCGAGAGCAGCGGTGACGGTGAGTGATTACAACTCACACTGTAATGGATCTTTCTTATAGATCGACCCTCTTATTAAAATATTAATTCTGAAAACGTTTAACGTCTGGTTTTTGAAATGGGGATTATGTAATGGCTATTCTTAACGTTTTTTATTGTATTTATACTAGTTATTTTTTACTTAGTTTTACGTACTTTAAAAGTTTATGAAACTAAAAACCTTGTTACTATCTTCTACTGTTACGACAAACTATATTCTGTTTACCGTTGTCAATTTCAATAATTTAATTTTTCAACATATTCAAAGATTTAAAGAAATCACAAAGTAATTTCTTATTCAATAATTCACATATCTTATGTAATTAGTACACATGAATTATTACGTAATTTATTTGTTTGCCAAACACATCAATGAATCTATGCCACTTTTTTTAAAGTTTAATACACCATACCTAATACATAGTGAACGACCCAACCATATTACACATTTTTTTTAAATTGCAACATTCATATTGTGAAACAGACACAATAATATGGTAACAAGCACTGAGCATCACCATAAAAGCAAATTGACTGGCGGGTCCGAGAACGGCTCGAGATTACTTTTATGTTGCTCTATCTTAAAGAGCGCAGCTTGGTGGGTTTATATCGGTGGCCGCATTACGCTACATAAAATCTTATCCAGTAGACATCGTTGGTCACCCACACTATCAAGAAGAAAGTTTTGTTCATGTAACTCGTATTCCAATAGCGACTTTGGGGCTCTCGCTATAAGCTATACATTTTCTTTATGTTTCTTTAATTGTTTTTTTTTGTTCTGCATGACCGTTTCTTTATTGGCCATTTAAATTACGCCTACATTTAATGGACGCGAAAAAAGTTAATTCTAAATTGTTCTGAAGTGTTTGTTGATTAAAGATATGTCAAGATATTACATAAAAAATATTGTCATACCTTCGAACACGTATTTTAATGAAAAGGAGACCGACACTTTTAGTCTACACAGAATTGATAAAAAACTGTTTAAATAAAAAGAATAGTGAAGGATTAATTTGTTAAGACATGTATTTTGTCGCGTAAAATTAATTACAATTACCCTTTGATTGCTCTTTATCCGAGAAGAGCTAAGAGTATCGTTAGACAATTAAATGCGAGACTGGTCGTAAACTATTTAAGTGTATTTATTTCTTATAACTCGGTCCTTTGCGTTGTGCGGTATTAGAACGTGACAGTGACGAGGGTAATACCACCACTGCCTTTTAAATAGAAGAGTCATGTAGGTTTAAATCACTCGGGTCCACCACATTTTTGTATCCGTTTCAATTAACACATTACTAGTGAACCCAAAACATGTTTGACCTTTGGACCCAACAGTCACTAAAGAGATGAGAGTCCATTGACTAGGCAATAACTAAGAATGCAATTGATTTAGGTCGATATTTTACAAGTCGTTAACTTAAATTATGTTTTGTGTGAACGTTATGAATTGTTATTTCTGCTTATTTTGGATTCCATTTATGCCTGAAAAATTAAACAACCGTCCCTGCGAAAGTAACCATTAATTATTATTTTGTATGTTGAAATAGACAACAAAATATTTTATTCTTTCACATTCTACAGCGAAAAACAAAAAAAAATATTGTATTCGGAATGTGTCAGTTACGGGCGTTGTTTCAGTGCCATTAATAATATTTCAAGGGGAAACCCCGAAGGAACGTAACAAAACAAACATGTTATGTCAAAGTGGCGTAACTTCGCAAATTCGATAAATGCTGTAACCCTATAATATGAACATGATAGTAACCCTTATTTTGAGTTTTTACAGTTTATGTCAACGAAGAGGGCGGTCGCTTTTCTTAAATATACCGACATCAATTCTGAAAAAAAAGCGACAAAATAAAATAATTTTCAGAAAAATCACAGAGTGAAATTAAATAGTTCTTGGTCACTGGGGAGGACAAACGATCTTGTTCGTGCTGAAACAAATTGGCTTTGAACAATGTGAATTAAAATTCTAGTTATGTTCTTTATTCTATAAAAATAAAATAAACTGTATACATTAGGAATCGTCAAATTAAATAAAAATTACATTAAACTAGTTGTGAAGACCAAGCCGTGGCTTGCGCCACTTAATACAAATTATCGCCTTTCAGGAAACTAAGAATACCCAATAATAAAAACAAGTAAAATTAATTTAGATGTTATTATGCAACATTTTCTTAAAACAGTATAACCTAACTTGATCAAAATGGTCAAGAACAACATTGAAAGTGCTTATTGATATTTATATGTTTTGCCATGATTGAGAATCTCTACCTGTATAAGAAACCAAATCGAATACGTGTCGTAGGTACCTCAGTTGCTCGGACAATTTTATTTTAATTGGTCAAGGTCAAGGCTTCTAGAAAATGTAGATAAGTATTTGGTGTAAATTTCAACTTTATGTTGGGTTTCGTTGTTTCTATTGTAAAACAGAAACCGAAAAAAAAATGTTTTATGTTTAGCCTTAAAAAAGAGAAGATTATTTTACGTGACATTTTCCTTATTTTATGATATTTGTTTTCATTATAAACAACCGTTAACATCCCTTTGAGCAAATGGTAATAACCTCACCGCGTTTTAACGTGATAATCTTAATGATATCGATTTATTCATCGTCCTTGCCATCCTTGATGTATATGTGATAAACATATTATTTAAATTACTTTTATAGTTTACTAGGGTTTTTATATTGGATGTGTTCGCTTTGTGCTTAAATTGAATAAAGCGGTTGAAGGTTATTGAAAACAATACCCCAATAATATTACCTAATTGTCGCTTCGCTTTAATATCGCGAGACTATTAAATATATTAAGTATAAAAACGAAATAAAATAATATAATTAATTTATGTGCCCTGTCGGTAGATTCTAACTAATGTTCTTTTTGCGTGAATTTTATGAATTTATCTGTATTTTATGCTTAGCCTTAATTTTTAAGCCACAATTTCCCATACATGTTTTGAGGGGTTCAGAAAAGATACGTGGAGTGAATTCCTTTAGTTTCAGTCAGAAATATTATTTTAATCGATGAAATCAACATTTATGAGAGTAGCTGGTACTTTTAAAATTTGTTTTTGGGTGCCAGTTTATGTTGACATAATTATTATTTTTTAGTCTAATTTTTTGGCATAATTTTCAGTCGCATAATGTTACTAGACATAATGACCATTAGCCTAATAATATTTAGGCATTAAAAGTAGTTAGTAATGGAATGTGTATCAATAGGTCAAGATTCGTATCAATAGGTTTAGAGGTGGCACTTGGGCCACTCCTAAACCGCCAATTGGTTTTAAATACATTAAAAAAAATACATTTAAAAATGTGTCTAGTACACATTTTAAAATTGTTTTTTTTTTATGTTAGAGGGGGCAGACGAGCAGACGGGTCACCTGATGGAAAGCGACCACCGCCGCCCATGAACGACTGCAACTCAGGAGTCACAGACGTTGCCGGCCTTTTAGGAAGGAGTACGCTCTTTTCTTGAAGGTTTGTAGGTCGTATCGGTCCGGAAATACCGCAGACGATAACCTGTTCCACAGATTGGTTCTGCGGGGCAAAAAGTGTCTCGAAAAGCGTACAGTTGTGGAGCGCCAACTATCCAGGTAATGAGGATGAACATTTTGCCGTGTGGAACGAAGGCGGAAATTTGCGGCTGGTATTAGTCCGAACAATTCCTCGAAGCACTGTCCATGATATATGCGATAGAAAATGCAGAGTGAAGCCACATCTCTACATAACGCCAAGGGATCGAGCCGATCGGAGATGTTTGGGCTATCGACGACTCGAGTCGCTCTTCGTTGGATGCGGTCCAGAGGGAGAAGCTGGTACTGAGGTGCCCCTGCATAGAGATGAGAACAGTATTCCATATGCGCGGCCGGCGGCGGTGGGCCGGAGTGAAATACAGCCTCACTCTGTTCAGTACACCGAGCTTCTTCGAGGCCAATTTGACCTTACCCTCTAAGTGACCCCGAAACTGGACTTCGCTCGATATGTCGATGCCTAGGATTCCGATGCTGGCTGAGGCAGTTAGGGAGGTGCTCTCAAACTGAGGTGATACGACAAATGGTATCTTTTTTGCAGTGAACGCACATCTCGGGGTCTTTTTTGGGTTAAACTCGACTAGATTTAGTCGGCCCCAATCTGAAACCTTCGCCAAGGAAGTTTCAATTTCAGAAACAAGTTTGTTTCGACTCTCGATGACGTTTTCCCGAGAAATGTTGGGGCGGTCGGTATAAAGGGCATCGTCTGTGCTATCATCTGCATAGCAATGGATGCCACTAGTTTGCAACATGTCATTGATATGCAGAAGAAACAGTGTGGGTGATAGCACACAGCCTTATGGAACACCAACATTTACGAATTTCAACTCGGAGCATGCAACGTCGATAACGACCTTAATGCTTCTGTTCGCAAGGAAGCTGGTGACCCAATTACACAAATTCTCGAGAAGCCCAAAGGATAAGGCACTTCGAGTGAAGCGCCTTATGCCAGACCCGGTCAAAGGCCTTCGCTATGTCCAAACCAACCGCACAAGTCTCTCCTTTGGTCTCGATCGCCTGTGCCCACAGGTGTGTTAGAAATACGAGAAGATCACCA